GGATTAATTGGTACTACCTATACCAACAAGATGCATCTTCTTTTCGGTAGTCCATTCATAAGGACTCTACAGTTAAGCGTGCTTGATTTGGAGCAATTCTGGGATGGGTGACCTTCTGGGAAGTTTCCTGGAAAGCGTCTGAGTGAGGCCAAATCATGCTGAAAAGACATGTGTTGGTTTGTGGGGTCAGTCGGTAAGCCTGAAGGCAGTTCGGGGCGTTACAAATGGTATCAGAGCCATACCTCTCCCAGTACAATGTGGTTCGAGGACAAACCATGCGGAAGCTGGTGGGCATGTAACACTCAAGGCCGAAAAGGGCGAGGAATGGTTGCACCGCATGTAATACCTGAGGCCTAAGAGGGAAAAGGTAGTCGTCACATTGGAATGAGAGGGATCCCGAAGTTATGCAGGTATTTGACTGCACAGTTGAAGGAAGGCTTATAAGGATTAATTGGTACTACTTATACCAACAAGATGCATCTTCTTTTCGGTAGCCCATTCATAAGAACTCTACAGTTAAGTGTGCTTGATTTGGAGCAATTCTGGGATGGGTGGCCTTTTGGGAAGTTTCTTGGAAAACGTGTGAGTGAGGCCAAATCATGCTGAAAAGACATGTGTTGGTTTGTGGGTGTCCGGGGCATTACATCTCCCTCTGCGCGAACCTCCGGATAGTTGAACACGTCTGACGCGTCATGCGAGAAACACAACCTTTTGTTTCTAGGTTCGGGCGCAACCCATGCCAATGGGTCCTCCATGATATTTGTTTTGTCTTCATGATTGGCGGGCACAACGTCCTCCTCGACTGGATGTTCCATTATACCTAAAAATCAGAGGAAAACAATGAATTCGACATCATCAAATTCACCTTTTATTTCTAGGTCCAGGCGCAACCCAGGCCAATGGGTCCTCCACGACATTAGTTTCGTCTTCATGATTGGAGGGCACGACGTCCTCCTCGACTGAATATGCCATTATACCTAAAAAGTAGGGGAAAATAATGAATTCGACATCATCAAATTTACACTTCCACCGCAAATCAAGTGAAAGGGTGATGAATCCGTCAAGGAACGAACTTCGACCCAAGCCCTCGACTGCCACACTGAAACAAACTATGTCGTGCTCGGGGACATTTGGCCAAATGGGCAAAGCTGCCCGAATTCACCCTACTATTCGGGGAGAATGACCCTAACGCTATAAACTTCATCCACTACCATGAACTTCAATGAACATTCATGAATGTTCATTGCAGAACCCATGGATGTTCATCCAAGATTCATCTGTTAAAGATAAAAACTGGGAGTTTAATCTAAAAATTCTAAGAAAACATGTTATCAAGAGGATATGACTTACTTGGATAAAGAATGTCTTTGAAGAATTCTACAGAGAAGCTAGGAGGAGGGGGTCCACGCGTGAATAGAGAAAAGTGCAGAAGAAAGCTTGAGAATAATAAATGGACCCCTAGGGTCCCATTTTTATAGATGGTTCACACCCCACGAGGTTGCACACGAAAAGTCATCATTATTTTGGACCTTTTAAACTCCCCTATGAAAAGATAACACCCCAAAACAACGACCACGTAGTGTTAACAAGCAGCCACGTGCCCACTCTCGAAGGTGAATTCATCCCCGAATTTAATACGAAACATTATACACGAGCACGATGAAGACATTTCACGCTCAATGACAGGCAAACGCACGACATTGTGACTAAACCTTACATACGGGCATATTTATCATGTTTCACTCACGAGGGCGAAGCAAACGCTCGATAGCGTAGCGACACCTTGTGAACGGGCACATCGAAAAAGAAAAACCGGGGAAACTCCTAGCATCCTGTACATTCCTAACGGGCGCCAAACGAATAAATGATCTAGTCGGCCGCGCAACTCGAGTGTTTTCGGGATCCCCGACACGGGTCAACAAATTATCCCTGGTGGAGAGTTATGATTTCCCTTCTCGGGCGAGTGTTCCCCGACAGTGAAGATGACCTTAAATCATCACCCTTTTACCTAAGGACAATAAATTAGGGGGCTCATGTTCTAGACTGGGCCAGCGCTTTCCCCACTGTTGGGGAGGCCCAATCCAACGCATTTGCCCAAGGCCCAAAGGCATGCAACCTAAGCTGAGGACCGTTGGGAAATTCCCCATGTGTCCATTAGGGAACGTAGCTCACGTGTCCATGTCATCATCATCCTGCCCTTCGAGAATGATGGGTCCAACTTCTGCTTTCTCGGGGTGGTTGACCAGGGAGGAGGCCATGCGCTGGACTCCATACACACATAAGCTCTGGCAGTCTTCGCTATTGGGCCTCATCGTGGCCCAACGCTGAAGACCTTGGTCCAGCGCTGGGGACTATAAATACCCTCTCCTTTAAGAGGGACGGGTATTCATTCAATCTCATACTCACTCTTACTTGCTTGCATTGCTCTGAACCTTACTTTGGCATCAGAGTGTCTTGCAGGTACAACCCCCCCCCCCCCCCCCCCATTTCACATCCAACCGCTGCTCGGCTCGAAGCTTGTGGACTTTGACAATCCCTTTTGGTCACATACGATCAAATACTAAAAGACTTTTTTCAATGCATTAGTTTTCCTCGTTCAATGCTTAATATACCGATATATCATAAACTCATGCACGTTCATATATGCTTATTTAATTTGCGTACTAAAAATGATTATTTGTTATCATCATTATATTGAATATATTTAGGGATGAAAATACGTTAGACCAATAACAAGGGCCTACAAGCTAGTCTACATAGGTTTAAGTTAGGTTATTTTTTGTTTACTGGAAAAGGCTCAGACTTTTTTATAAGTTTATTTAGTTAAAAAGACTAAGCCACAAACCGCAAAAAAAAAACTTTTAAACCTATCAGATCGGTCTATTTAAATAAAAGGTCATGCTAACATGTACTCTTAGAGAACATGTTAAGGATACTATAATTTAAAAAAACTTAAATATAATAAAATCATATTTAAAATTTAAAACATTGAATGCACATGTTTTAAAAGAATATTTCTTAAAATAGCTTATTAACATAAGCTTTTTGGCACAGCTTTTTCTTTAAATAAATATGAATAATTTTATTATTATTATTATAGATATTTGTATTTTAAATTAAAATACAAAAATAAAGTTTAGATGTCTAGAAGGACTTATGAAAATACGCTAAAAAAATCTTATGAACAATGTTATAAGTTGTTTTCATAAGTCTCTCAAACAAAGAGTATCACAAAATATATGTTAATAGGTACACTTGAATAAATCAATGCAAATAAGTATTTAATCTAATTAATCTTTTAATTTTTTAGTCTATTTTAATATTAATTGAATTGCTTATTTGAAAATATTCAAATAAATAGATTTTTATGTAGACTAATAAGTCAATCAGACTTTCGAAAAGGCCAGCCTCAGGTTTAAAAACAAGTATTTAATAGACTACATGTCAAACTTAAATTTTAAAATTTTTAACAGATGAAACTCGGACTTGACAAAGCGTAGCTCGATCTAACCTATTTTCATCCCTAAATATAGTTATATAAATAAAATCACATGTAATTATATAAAATATATATTATAAAAATGTTGTTTATAAAAGTCCATTCAAAATATGCTCTCATTTAAATATTTTTTGAAATTTTAACATTAAAAAAAGTCGTTAAAAAATGAAGTACTTAAAATGGATTTAAATAAGAATATATTTAAACTAATTTTTCTTCTGAAACATTTTTTAAAATTATTTTAAACAAAAATATATAATATTATAAAAAACTATTCTTTATAAAAAATTTAACAAATGATCTCATTATTTGTGTCTTAATTCGTTCTATAATTAAAATTCTAAAAATAAATCTTCTAAATGAAAAATAAAATTTTAAATCATGAGTATCTATATTTTATCTCCAATTTGAATAATATTAGCAATGTTTTATATATATAGTATCAGAATACTATAACATATTTTCATTTAAAGTTAGAGCGATAAGATTAAACTTTAAATTTTGGCTTAATATATTTTTTAATATTATTTTACTTTAGTCTCTTAATTTTTTAATATTATTCTACTTTAATCCCTTAATTAAAAAATATTACAAGTAGCTCTTTAATTTCACTTCTATTATCATATTTGATTTCTTCCATCAATTTCTGGTAAAAAAAAATATACTAAATTCGATGTACAACAAGATTTAAGAATTAAATGTGATTCAATATTTATACTATAAAATAAAAATAATCTTATTGTGACCATCTTTATAATACCTACTTAAATGAAAATCCTACTTTATAAATTAATTTCATTTGAATTTTGAATGTTATTGTACTTCCGAGTCATCAACATTTAATGTATCTTTCGATGCAAACACTGGTGACGTATCTTTCGATGCCACTTGCCCAAAAAGTATTACACACGTGGCTTTAGACAGCAAGTTTTCGAAAGATTTGTTAAGTGGATGGAATTGGATGGAGAATAGCAAGATGTAATGAAATAGTATTTGGAGCAGAGTGAAGTGTATGAATTTCCATCAATTATCACCACATTTCTTCTCCAATTTAGGAAGAATGGATAATTTGAATTGGTCCAACCTAAAATTTCCAAAGGATGAAATGAAATATCCAAACATAATCGTAGTTGTTTCCTACTATGTTTCGGCAGAGTACAAAGAATATGTTCTAAAAACACATTAATTGAAAAGCGAGTTATTCAGATGCATCACAAATTCAAGATTGCAGAGTAAAACGAGTTGATGAACCATCATAAGTTACACCAAACGATTAGGTTTGAAAATGCAGAATGAAGACGGTTAATATGACAAAGGAAATAATGAAAACATGTTTTCTTTAGGCTTTATATCTCTTCCTAGTTCTACCACACTACCATTTTGTAGAGACAGAGACTGATCAGAAGAGCCAATACACGACATTGATATCTTTGTGGTCGTTTGTGTATAGAAGATCAAAATCAATATATGTGACATATTTACAGAACTTTGATACCACAATCTAGCAGTTCAAACCCCAGTCGTAAGGCTGATATGTCACCTTCAACTCAGAAGAGGCAAGCAGGTCCAATAATACTTCTGAGTCGGCTGGATCTAAATAGTTTGACACATGCTTGATCACCTCAACCTCGCTCTTGCCAAAATCTATACTATACCTGAAAAATGAACGACGAAAAAACCATTCGGCTAAGCATATAATTCGAAAGGTTTGCCTGCTCACTGTGTGAGACAGAATGTGCTGGTGTATAACATACATTCAATGAGTTGCTCATTGCTTAAATTTACAAAAAGTAAATGCATAAATATATTTAGAATCATCGATTAAAAAGACTTACCATTTAAGGATCTTACTAGCATATGCAGTCTTTGCTGTCAAATCAATTAGAAGACCTACACTTCTCAGGAAGTTGCGAGCTGCATCCAATAACTCTTCATCAATTTTTCCAGGAAAATAGCACCGTAGTGCAGGCCCAGATCGGGTGCCACATACCAAAGCAAAATGAATCAGAGGCTCAGGGTAAGGGAGTGCCACCTGCCAAGTAAATAAATCAACACCCTTTGTGAGCATCAAAGTCAGAAATATAGGATACTGAGGAATTTCATCGTAAAAGTGTGTGTAAAACAACAAAAGTTTTGTGAAATGCTGGCAGATTAATTTCTGGAATGCATTTGTGAAGGGAATTAACACAATAAAACTTCTAAACTCGGTGCTTATTTTTTACAAGAAAACTCCAACAAAGTTAAAAAGTATTTTTTTAGTTATTGTTTACAAATATTTTAATATACTATAAGCTTACCTTTGAGCGTTTGTCTTTTGCACCAAATGGCTTCTTAAGATTATATGGAGGCCGCTGGTTTCCCCTCAATATGCCATTTTGAATAGCTGAAAGTGAGTAGGTGGAGCCACCTATAACATATTTGAACTCTCCAAATATTTTCCTTCTTTCTAGTGCTCCATCTGGTTGACCCAATACTAAGATTGCATGGATGGCCATCATATTATAGAGATTAATAAAGAAAGCAAGCTTCTCTTCTCTAGATAAATCCCATATTTCCACTCTTTGGAGCTCTTCTACTATTCTCAGATACCTAAAATGATAAGAGCAGAAATAATATATAAAATTCTGAAATGACTGAACGAATTATCAAAGATTGCAAGGCATGTCAAGGTTCTAAATTAAGCAAAAGAAATAAAATGATACAGGCACCTTGCGAACTCCTCACTTCCATGCAAACTTGTATAATCAACACGAGACCCATCTTCAAAAGCATAGGCTTCAAACATTGCAGAGGCCAGAACTCTAAGCCTTGATGCAATTTCTGCTATAGGCTTCGGTTTAAAGGTAATAATGCCCCTAGGAATGTTGTGACATTGTGACACCACAGTTGGATCATCATCCAAAAACCGATACACGTGATTACCATCTTCAAATAGATTCTCACTAAAGCAAAACAAAAATCAATAATAAATCAGAAAGGATTATTAACTCTGTAACAACAAAACAAACTACAACAAGTAGAGTATTTGGACTCACTCAAGAACATGTCGAAAAAAGAGTTTGCTGGCAAGCTTCCGAGCAAATTCAACGGCCTAAATACCACCAGACAATAATTAGAACGAAAACAATGTCGTTGCGAAGAATGCACTTATGAGGTTTTTATGAACATTATACCCGCATTTGAGACAAGCTTACCTCTGGTCTTTCCAAATATTGATCTTCTGATAAGAAATTTAAAGCATCCGATCCCTGAAAACAGTTGGTAAACCTGCGCATTTTGTACAATCTGTCCTTCACAGTAATAGATTCTTTCATTTTGAGTACAATAAGAGCCAATTCATCAACTGCCCCACTGCTGGAGATATCATCCTCTCCAGAAAAAGGTGGTGATGGCGTTTCAAATAATGGTGCTTCCGTAACAAGATAGTCAATCTTCTCATCAAGCCTTCCAGACTCATCCAAGTTTTTTAGCTCACTCAAGCCTCCAATAAGTATTTCATTGAAAAACACCTTAGGAACTGAAGTAGATCCTGAAATCTTTTCCAGCTCCATCTTTCTACTAGGGTATACATCTATATTGATTTCGACAAACCTAAGCCTTTTCGTACGTAAAAATAGCCTGAATATTCTAGATTCTTGGCACCCGAGTTTCGTGTACAGAATAATCCTTCCTTTCATGGCTATTGGTGGTACAGTATAGTCCACCTCAACATCAGACGACTTCTTAATATAATTCAAGGGATTCCAGGCAGATTTCTCCACTAACTTCTGAGAAACCAATTTAGATTCGTTAACTTCTGAAATATCTGAACCATCCTTGCTTTCATCATCAAAATTACCCACAGAAGCATCATCACTTTTTCCTGAAAGGCGGCGCAGCATAGTGGAAACAGCCACTGCACTTTTCTCCCTAACAAAATTTTTAAGAGCTACCGCCTTCTCAACCACACCTGAACTGTCCTGATCTCCATCCAACTTACGAGTAGATGTGCTCCGATTGACTTCCATCCCTGGAACCTCAGTTCCATCAAACACAGGGTCCAAAATGTTGTCCTCGCTTGGAATCTCATCGGCCTTTTGATTCACATGTGTGGCGGATTCAATGTCTCCACTGTCATCCTCCTCTTCAGCCAAGTCATTTGGTCGTGAGTTTTCATCTAGATTTGTCTCTTCACTTTTAGGCTCGGAATCCATGTTCCTCTCCGCCTTATCATGACCAGAATCATTGTTGACACCCACTTCAGATTTGGTCCCAGACAAACCAGAATCTCCAATGAATTTGTCATTTACCTTTTCATCAGTATCAGACTTGGACTTTCCACCGTCGACATTCTTTATCACATCCGATATATCCTCCAGTTTATCATGACCAGTATTCAGAGCTTCTGCCTCTTTATCCAGATCTCCGATCTGAATTGCAGAAGTATCTGCTTGCAGCTTCTCAACCTCTTCGGAACTAGGTTCCTTTTTCTCCAACAAATTCTGATCTTCCATGGTGTATATGCTGTGCCTCACTCTAATTAAAAGACCTGCAAGCAATTAAACAACAAAATGCCAGTGTATATCCAAAAAATAGTCAATGTTCGTTAATACCGAGTTTTTCAAACTCCGCTACACTAGAGCGATATAAAAAGCCAATACAAAATTCTTGATTCATGTATTATTCCCAAAAATTCCAATACAAAATTGGTAAGAAATTGATCTAACACAAGAAAATCACAGTCTTAAATTAAGAAGAAAATCTGTATCGGAATTACCTTGTTCCCGATCTATAATCTGTGTATATGAATGAGAAAGGAGATGAAAACGAAATATAAAAAGTTCCCTAAAGCGTTTGGAAATGGTTAAGAAAAAGAGAGAAGTAACTTACGATGAGAAGTGAATTGTTGAAGCGTTATTATTGTTGACTTTGAAGAGTCCAAATGTTGAATTGAAAGAAGAAACGGCAAAAGTATTATTCAGTCAGACAAATGGAGAGAGAAGCGGGAAGGAAGTCTTTGCTTGCTTGCTTTGGGGCGGCTGTATCCAAAATGTAATAATAATAATTAACATTTTAATATAATAATTATTTTGAAATACATAAATAGCTTGTAAATTTAATAAAAAAAGTGATTATATATTTTTATCCTTAGACAAAGGGGTGATAATTATTAAAATCTATTGCACACAATTGCGAAATCTAGGTTGAAATTATGAAAATTTGGTAATTGCGTTCATTCTAATAATATTGTTCTTTTGCCATAAGATAAGAAGAATTATGGTTAAAATCGAATTCAACAAATTGGAAGAAAAAAAACTTTGTAAAAAAACTACACAATTTTTTTACTTTATTGGTTGAATTTTTTTTTTATTTTGACCTTTCAAACAAATTAGTCATCAAAAAGATAATTTGAAGTTGCCATGTGGATTTTTTATTTTTTATTTTTATAAAAAAATGTTTGTTTATAATATGGCTTTTTAAACCATTTTAATTTGTTTGTTTTTAAATATTTTCAATATGTTACGATAAGTATGTAATGTGTTAATAGTTTTAAATGGAAATGAATGACTCAAAATGAAACGTTAAAATTAGACCGATTATCGGTGAGAATATTAAATTATTGGTTCATTAGTTGAATTACTAGATTAGTGATTGAATCGCATAATGAATCAAATAATTCAGTTGAATAAATATGTCTCTATAAAAAATTATATATTTATTAAATCAGTTAAATCAGATGATTCAGTTTCTAAAAATATTATGACATCTATAAAATTTCTAAATATTATAATTTCACATATTCATTATTTAAATTTAAATTTTAAATATAATCATCATTCATAACAAAATATAAATTTAAGTAAATTTTAAATCAGATCTAATTGCAAACAAAGCAAAGTTTTTTCAAGTAAGTTTTGAATAAAGTTTATATATATATTTTTAAAAAAATTACGAAAACAACGTCATTTTGTTTGAGAAAAAAGCATCATTTGATTCGTCGGGTTTTTCAAAACCGTCAATTTATTGGTTTTTATCAATTTTGACTGATTTTAGTCTATTTTCACCCGTTCAGTAGTATATTCGATCCAACAATCACATCAAACTGATGACCCATTTGATTTCCAGTTCAACCGATTTAACCGACCGATTCAGTCTAATTTTTAAAACAATACTTGCTTGTAAATGGAGAGGTATTGGTTCAAACCACATAATTTTTAAAAAATTAATTAATATATTTATTTTTTACATTAATATTAATATGAAATATTTATTTATTTACATTAATATTAATATGAAATATTTATTTATTTATATTAATATATAAATATATAATTATTTAACTCAATTATCACATATCATTTTGGGATGTTTCGTCTATATATCATATTATTTATTTCAAAATAATATACACACTAGTAGGTATATTCGTGTGAGACAAGGGTTAAGATTTATTTAAATAAATAAATTTTTTAAAATTAATTATAATTTATAAATAAAATAATAATTACAAAAATTTACAAATAATTTAAGTAAATAAAATATTTTTACATTTAAAAATAAATAAATAAAAACTCAATTTTTCACTATTTATTGTCAGATATTATTTACAATTTAAATTCTTATTTTATCATAGGTGTTATATTAAAAAAATAAATTTTAATTTTCTACTATTAATTATATATGATTATATGAAAATATGATATATAATTATATAATTAATGCACCATTTTTTTTAAAGGATGGTTGTTTTTTTATAAAATTGCGAAACTGGAGGGAGTATTTACTATCATTGCATATTAAAAATATTGAAACCAAAGGGAGTCAAAGGGAGCTTCTAGTTTACCGGTTTGAGAATTTGCAATCATCCTAAGCCAAAAATACACAATACAATCTGTATAATTTAAACCAAAATTATCAACAATAGGTAAACCAACTTATGTTTCATAGGTCATATGAGTGATTTCTCCATGTCATGTAACTAACATATAATCAATGGACATTTGTTCAACTGCTGCATAGCATCGAACACATCAAAAGCAGATTTGTGAACTATAAAAATGAGCATTGGTAATTACAACGAATACAAAAAACAATGAAACAAAGGTAATGATTTTGATGATTACACTTTGCAGTAGAATATCAATTCTTGCATATCATACTGAAACAAAGGTGATCTTTACTTTCTACCAATTTGTCTAAAATCAAACTCAATGGGAGTGCTCCTAAATTTCCCCAATCTACTATCTCCATTGACAGAGAAATTAAAATATTGAAAATTGAAAATCAAATACAATGTTAAAAATTTAAGAAAAGAGATGGACTCTTGATGAAATATAATGTTGCAGTTTAATAGTGCACTTTGTAGCGTTGCAAAACGTGATTTTATGTGTTCTTATATGTTGATAGAACTGAGTCTTAGTGAATGTATTAGGACTGTTTTGTTTATTGTGAGTCTCTCTATTATCACTTTGGTAGAAGAGTAAGATGTAAGAACAAGAAGTGTTTTCTACACCTGACATTGAGATTTTGACGATAACTTCATATGTTATCTTATAGAACAATTGTATACATTAATAGTTTCGTCTAGTGTGTAGCTTCTACTATAATGTTCTGACTCTGGTACAAGGCGTATGACGTCATCAGGTTCTGAACATACACTCTGGAAGAAAACATGTGGTTACATGTTTCGGTAAAGTCAATATTCTGAACTGGTCTTCTGCAATGTGTCTTAGGAATGTTAGTACAAGAAGTTCTGGTCGTGGCTTTGTGGTTTAGCTTTAGAGGCCTTCTAAAGCTTTACTTATGTGTTACAAGTTCTGAAGATTATGAAGAACAAGGTTCTGTTGAACAACTTCTGATGATCTGAAGAAAAGGAAGTTCTTACAACCAAGTGTTGAAGACTCTGAAGAACAAGGTTCTATGTGATAAGTTCTGAAGACTCCAAGACTTAGGTTCTAAGGCTCATAAGAAAGATTATTCTACAACAAGCTTCAACGTTCAATATTCAAATATCTGAAGACTCTGAAGATAAGAATAAATTTCAAATGGTTAACGTGTGATGTTGTGCAAAAGGTACATAAAGTATTAGTGACCTCTACCCTCTAGGGTGGCGTAAGGACAATTCTTTATATTGTATTGACAATCACTCTCATTGTGACCGTTGGGAACAAACAGTTGGATTAACAAATATCTTTCTTTATGTAACAGATCTCTATTTACAAGCTTAATAGAAAAATATTATTCAAAGGAAAAGGTGGAAAGCTATCATTGAACAGTGACAGGATATAGAAATATTATTTTATATTATCTAAACTCTTACACCTTATTTTATCAGTTGGGAACTAACGTTGGTGCAGGAAAAGTTGGTTCTATCCTCACAACGTCTCTCTCTCTCTCTCTGTGTGTGTGTGTGTGTGTGTGTGTGTGTGTGTGTGTGTGTGTGTGTGTGTGTGTGTGTGTGTGTGTCAAGGGCTATAAAAGAAGATCAAAGCTTCAAAGATAAAGAGCTAGTTAGCGATTTAACCGTTGCCATTGGCCAACAAGCTTCGTCCAGTGGGAGGAAAGTAGTGGACTCTAAAGATGTTAAAGGTGCAATGATATACATACTGAAGACCACTAAAAGAAGAGAAAAGAAAGAAGAAGACTACAAGATGTTACTCAACTTCCAATCGCATACATCTTTGTAGATCTCAGAAGAAGCAAGGAGTTGTTACTTATAGCTTACTCAAAGAAGATGAAGAAGAACACTACACGATGATACTCAACTTCTGATCATATACATCTTTATAGAACAATGTGTTGCACCCCAAAATTTGCCCTCCCATATTCTCCAAGAAATTGCCAAGCCAAGCTGCAAAATTCCCCAAAGGTTGCATAGTGCAAAGGTCTCCTACACAGTCAAAACTAGGGTTTGTGTTCTGATCAAGAAAAGGAAGTTTTCAAAGGCCCAATCAAGTCTCACATGCCTACAAATATGGTCAAGCATCCTCATATCAAGTTTCAAGGCATTCAGCTCAAAATTGCACAGTCAAAAACCCTAATTGCACTACAGTCAACTGTAGGGGCAAAATGGTCATTTGGCAGTCAAAAGTTCAAATTTTTTATCAACATATCATTTTGAAGCCACAAACATCATTTGATCAATGCTTGATCATGATTCTCAAAATTTGGCTCAGAAATCATCAAAGATGCAAAAGTTTCCTTATTTGGACAGCTGAAAAAGTCAACTGAAATTGACCAGGGCATAACTTTCACATGGATCATCAGAAAAATTCCATCCAAAGCTCATTTTGAAGAGAAAGACATTTCCTACAACTCATCTTCATACTTCAAGTCCAAGAAATGCTCTCACAAAAAGTTATCAATTTCAACATTATAGGTCATTTTCAAAAGTCAACAAAAAGGGACTTTAAGTCAAAGGCCATAACTTGAGATTGGTAAATCAAAATGACATGGGACCAAAGGCATTGGTTAGAGGACTCAAAGACCTTTCCAAAATGTCCAAGAACATGAG